AGCAGTAAAATTGTTTCACTTAAAAATAAGTCATTTAAAATTCTAATACATTATAAAATTAATTTCATATTTATGGCACGCAACAAATGTTTATCATAAGATAACGTAATGTGATATGTACTTTCTTTAACCTTGTGTAATTTTGTTCATGGTTAGGTTTAGTGACGCAGCTTTTATCAAGTGACAGATGAATTTGCAGCAAAATATTATAATTATATATATATATATTTATGCTTTTGCTCTCTCTCTCTCTCTCTCTCTTTATATATATATATATTATAGATTATATAATAATTACCATTATTTAATATATATTTTGGTAACTTTACAATAAGGTTTCATTTGCTAACATTGGTTAATGCATTAACATGAACAAACAATGAACAATATATTTTTATAGCATTTATTAATGTTAGTTAATAAAAAAATTATGTTATGTAACATATGTAACCGATACAACTTTTGGTTTCAATAATGTATTAGTAAATGTTGAACTTAACATTAACTAAGATGAATAAATACTGTATAGGTATTGTTCATGTTAACTAATATAATTAACAAATGAAACCTTATTGTGAAGTGTTACCTATATTTTGATGTTATTTGGAATGTACACTACTGTTCAAAAGTTTGGGGTCGGTAAAATTGTGAGTAGTAGAGAAAGAAACATGTTACAAAAGATATATTTCAAATAAATGTTGTTCTTTTGAAATTTTTATTCATTAAAAAATCCCGAGAAAAATCTATCACAGTTGCCACAAAAATATGAAGCAGCGTAACTGTTTTCAAAGTTGATCATAAGAAATGCAGGCTTGGTGAGCATAAGACACTTCTTTCAAAAACTTTAACATTCTCACTGACTCCAGACTTTTGAATGCTAGTATACATTATATTAAAGCTTCCACTAAGAAAAAACAACTGGATCAACGAACACTGTAAGAATAGTAATACTAAAACTGAAATTCTCTGTTTTGTGATACGAGAGGCATGAAAGTAGCGCTGGTTTCAGTTACTGGATGAATGTTAAATATGAATTCCTATATTAAGGCTAGATGACACTCAGAGAGACCTGACATTTTTTGCTACTGGTTTACCTTAGTGTCTCACTGCAGCATGTTTCCTCACTTTTAGCACACCTGTCCTCATGTGCTCATCAGTCTTTCTCTCTGTACAGGTGTGCCCCCCTTTCAGATCCAGCAGCCCCACACCTCTCAGGTCCTCCAGCCAGAAGAAGCTCTCTACCTCCGCAAGAAGAAGAAAAAGTTGACTCGCCAGGACCCATACGCCCGCTTTTCCGCTCTGTTGTACCGCCGCCCGCCCCGAGAAGACCAGAAAGCCATTTTGGCTAGTATGGACACAGCAGACCCAGACCACGCCACTCTCCTCTGAAGTCCCAGAGATTACAGGCCACACTCTCCCCAAACTCTGAGCTCCTTCCACCTTTGCTCAGCCAGCCAATGTCTTCACGTCCACCCCTGAATCCAGTGGTTTACTCCTCTTCTCTTTTCCGTTACGCTTAATGTATCACAAGAAAATGCTTGTGTTCCAAGGTTTTGCTCTAGTCCATTTACCTCAAATTCAGAAGGATCGTCATGTTGAGCAGATTAAAAAGAATATCTTGTATGCCTCATTTCATCTTAGTGACTCTTATCAGATGGTGCGTCAGATAAGGGAACAGCTGTCAAGCTTCTGTTTCATTCTGCCAACAGTAGATCACAGGGTTTTCACAGGTATACCTCAAACTCACCACAATCTCAGTGCTGCTATACTGACAAATACAGAAGACGTTAGCAATCCGAACATTTGTTTGTATTTTCAAATATGACATTCCACAGTGCAAATTTTGAACCTATTCGCAAACCATCCATGAAAAGTGCCATGTACACTACCATTCATAAGTTTGAGGTCAGTAAGATTTTCTGATGTTTTTGAAAGTAATCTCTTATGCTCACCAAGACTGCGTTTATTTGATCAAAAATACAGTAAAAACAGTCATATTTTGAAATATTAATAGAATTTAAAATAACAGTTTTATTTTAGCATATTTTATAATGCCATTTATCCATGTGATGGCAAAGCTGAATTTTCAGCAGCCATTACTCCAGTCTTCTGTGTCACATGATCCTTCAGAAATCATTTGAATATGTTGATTTGGTGCTCAAGAAACATTTCTTATTATTATCAATGTTGAAAACAATTGTACTGCTCAATATTTTTTTGTGAAAACCATGATACATTTTTTCACAATTCTTTGATGGTGAAAAGAACAGCATTTATTTGTAGAAATGAAATAGAAATCTTTTGTAACATGATAAATGCCTATCACTTTTGATCATTTTAAATGTGTCCATGCTAAATAAAAGTATTAAAAAATCTTACTGACCCCACATGTTTCAAAGGGAAGCATATGAATTTGTAACATATATTAGCACCCTACACCGTGTCTGTTAGTGATGGTATGACACATGATTATGCGTGCGTTTGAGATGTGTTTAGCGTTCTCTACTCAGACACTAATACTAGTGCTAATTCTCCACATTTGAGGAGAAAATGGAAACACTTTTACAAGCACAACAATTCATCTGTTAAAGCTACAGTACAGGCGGAGACACAGGCTTGGATGGCAGCGACAACCATTTGAATAAGGGAACATTTCATTCCAATGCAATTTTTGATAAACATATGTATACTCTTTTTGAACACAAACTTGCACTGAAGCAAAACCTTGGTGATTACTGTGAGTGACATTTTTAGTTTATGCCAACCTCACTTCTCTTGGTTATCAAGCTCTATTTGGAAAGTACTATAGTAATGCCAAAAATACTACAGCTTCCTTAATCAATAAGACTATAAAATTGTACTGTACTGTGAGGAGGATAGGATTTTGTGCCATAATACACTATAGTATTTTTGTCATCAACATGCGATGCCCCCTTACATAAAAAAGGCATACATTGGCCTTAATAGGGCTCCTTAAAGCTTGTTCCTGTTTTTTTCCATTTAAGTGACAAAAAATGAAATCTACTGCCTTTGTAGGCCATTTTCAAGCCTTTTTTTTTTTTTTTTTTTGGTTAAACCAGAAACCGCAACCCAGCGCCTGTCTCTTTCCTCTGTGAAGACCCTTGGGGGAAAATCTCTTTGGGTTGAGAGGGCTATTCCCAGCGGCCAAAGGTTTATATTGTGTTTCTATCATCCAACGGTGCTTCTTTTCTACAGAAAGACATGTATTTTCACTGTCTGAACAGACATACCTGGGCAAATGTACATTTTAGCGTGCTAGCCATTGTCCAAGGGGCATGTAATGGCCGTTAGACGAGATGTGGCATGTTCTGTGTCTTATCACTTGTACAGATGTGCAGTCAGCTTGTACATTTGAAAAATGTCTAAAGCTGCATCAAATGGCTGAACATTGTACTGTTTCTTCAGCCTGGGAAAATAATTCAAATCAAAAAGCAAGTGAAGGTGAACCCTTGACCTCCAACTGACAGGTTAAAGGGGTTATAGGTGTGTGGTTCATGGCTAAGCCCCACCCAATGGCCAATCACCACATATAGGCATTTTAACAGCCTACATAAGGTGCTATAAAAAGTCTTCAGACTGAACTCTGTTAATAATATATCATTAATTTGATCTTCCAGCAGATAATGGCTGCTGCTTATAGGTGCCGTAACATTAGCGAAATTTCAACAAAATTTTGTGAGCAAAAAGTTTTGTCTATTATCAATAGTGTAGCGATGCATGAAGCACCACTCACACCGAAGTCACTTTCAAACCAAGCAGCTTTCTGTTAAAGGGGTGGTTGACTGTTTTTTTCTCTAGGCTTGATTGTGTTTATGGGGTGCAGTCTAACATGTGTTAATGCTTAGTTTTTAAAACAAAATGCATTATTTTTCACATAATTTACCTTTATTTTACACCGCTCTGTCCCTTCTCCTCAAAAATGCGCTGATCATTTCCTGCTTTTATGAAGCCCCTCCCTCAGAAATACGGGATGGGCTCTGATTGGTTAGCTGGCCCAGTATGTTGTGATTGGCTCAACCGCCTCTAATGCGCGTCTAATCGTCACGCCCCTCACCTCAGCAGCATGTACTGCTTCTGTTAGCTTTTAATATAACGTATGGTTTTATCCTGATTAAAGCTTTAATACAGTACGGCAACCGCACACGCATCCATGTATAACGCTTCTCATAGCTATGTGAAAATAAATAAGTGTATAAATGGAACAGTTTATTGTTGGAGCTGAGCTGGTGATCTGAATGAGAGATTGAGAGAGTGAGAGATGCAGAGCGTGTACAGAGCAGGGAGATGCGAGGATTAAGAACCGCTGCTTTAGAACATTGATTTTGAAATCATTGAATTGAATCATTAGAAGACAGAATCGCGATTCATATATGAATAGTTTTTACGTGCACCCATAGTTTTCTTCCTCTTCTCTAATTCAGCATGGCCCCGCCCCCTTTGTTGCATGTTCCCAGGGGCGGGGTTTATCAGGGTTTGTGATGTCACAAACCCGGGAAGTAGCTCGTTGTAGTCCCTACAAGCCGTTTTTGTAGGCATTAAACTGCCAGAATTTTAAAATACGTTATCTCCGTTTGCACTGAACTTTCAGCACTGCAAATTTGCAGATACTGTTTATGCTCAAACAGCAACATTACACACTAACTAATGTTAAAAAAGTGAAATCGCAATCAACCACCCCTTTAAGTTGCAGTCACATTTAATGAAGTTCGGCGATTTTCCATGGGGCAAAATGCAGTAATTTTAATAGGAATTCACATGTTTGGTAATTTCACACGAGGGCGAAAGATTTCCCCACAGCAGATTTCATGGATTTGCTGCATTGACCAACAAAATATATTTAGTTTGAAAGTGACTTCTGCACAAACTGTTCTTCATACATTGTTTCAGTATTGATGATAGATGAGAAATTTTGCTAATGTGACTGCACCTTATCTCCTGAACACCTCAGTATTTGATTTTTTAGGATTTCAACACCATCCGGCATTTGTCTCATAAGCCTTCAAGTGCGGTCACATTAACCGAATTTTTGTGGGTGAAGTCTCATGTTTGGAAATTTTGTGTGAGGGTGAAAGATATTTCCCCTTGTAGACTTCGCAATGGGTTTCAAGTTTGTCAGCGGATTCGCCGCGTTGACAGAAAGTTTGGTTTGAAAGTGATCTTTGTCTGAGCTGTGCAACATACATGGCTACTATTTTCCATAAACAATGGCCCTTTTTTCCCTGCGAAATTTCGCCAAAATTTTGTTAATGTGAATGCACTTTCTGCTGTCTGCTGTGGCATTTTGAGGGTCATCAATGATATCGACATTCTTACTCGACTAGCATCGGAGCGTTAAACATTAGCAAGTGTGAGTTTTGAGCTGTAAAGCATACATGTTGGTTGGTTACAACAAGCTATGCTGTAGTTGCAGCTGCTGTGTGGTGAAGATTTTATTTGTTTGTTTGGATGTAATGTTTGCTTATACATGACAGACCAGCGCATCAAGTGCTCCTTTGTACCTTTTAGGCGTCAAAAAAGGTCAGCCTTTGTGGAAGATGTTGATTTGGATCAGGGGATTGATGGTCAAAGAGTCAAAGAGATTTTAGCGATTCTGAGCTTAACATGATTTATTTAGTGTTGCGCTGTGAGACCTGCTCAGAATTCAGAACCGTGATTGAGCCGTCATTTGTATGTTGTGTGAATGGCTTTACATTTTGAGCAAAGACTTGATTGTTCACACTTGTAATTGTTGTTTTATTTGTAAATCAAGTAACCAGATTAGATGAGACCTACTTGCTTAGGTATTCTATTTGTGTGTCAAAACACACTGGTTTAGATAGATAGAGGCGACTGATAATCTCGTTCATTCGAGAGATGTGCTTATCTTAAGTATTTTTTGATCCATTTCACTGGGCAATTGTCAAATATGGTGCTTTCTAAAAGATATACAACTATTTAATTATCTAAATATTGTGTTCCTTTTTTATTTAAAGCCTTCATACAAGAGAATAATATCGAAATGAATATCCAAAATGCTAGGAATGTACTGTAATATGTCAAAAAAACTGTATAAATAATATAATAGCATATATTGCACAATGTATGATAAAATTTTAGTAATTTTGAATCAATTGGCCAATATATGCACGCAACAGAATATATTGATATAAAACATATTGTCATATTTTGGATTCAGTTTCTAATATGTTACTTTTTCATGAGGTTTGGAATGCATGAGAGCATTTTTGAGCCAAAAGAGCTATTTATGTGTTGTAAATGATTCAGTCCACTTGCATTCACTCTCACATTAAAGTTGCAACTTGTCGGTGAAAGTTTATTATGTCTAAACCCGAAAGGATAGCAGTCTAGCTCACATTCTGCTTTGCAGGGGACTTCTGCTACTGTAGCATCAATCGTTGAACAGATTGGCTAACTCTAGAGCGGACAGTTAAATGAGCTGTTTTTGAGAGGCAATTAATGCTAACTTGATTCGACTCATGGGCGGTGTAAGATGAGATTCATTGTAACACTTTCTGAAATGAGCCTTTATCTTTTTAGTAGCATTATAGCCATGGTAGAGATTCATTCATGCATTCGTTTTTTTATTATTAATATACTGTACTGATTTTATATGCCATTTATGAAAACATTCTATTGCTTTTGATAAAACATCTCAAGATTAGCATTTTTACATTCCAGATCATTCTCAAAGGTGCATAATTTTTAATAAAAGCATCTTAGTAAATCTCTGTTCCTTTGTTTTGTTTTATTGTCATCATCTCATATCCTAGCAGCATGTTTTGCTTTGCATCTTCTAGTTTTTTCATGACACGTTCTTTCTTATGTTTACATCACATTCACATTTATGTTCTGAGCGGACACTTGCTTACCAAAGCAACTTACAAGAAAGTGCACATTTTGCAGAACTGGCAA